ATTTCCATTGATTCAGAGGCACATTATTAGTTTAATTGGCGATTATCAGCAGATCAATTAAATCACTGCAGGAATAAAACTAAAAACTGATCTGTTGCTTGGACCACTGACATGATGAGTAAAATCCAATCCATGACGAAAGCTGTGTTTATCATGAACGATAAACAAATCTTTAGCTTAAAATCAATACACGCTGTATTCTGCCATTACCTGTAATACATTCAGCCTCCCCATCTAACTGTCTGTTTGCTTTCTGCTGAGTTGCTTCCACTTCCCCATTAATACAATATTCTAGAAATCTCAAGCCTGGAGGTGCTGGAGTCCGACATTCCTGAGGTAAAACGAGTTTGTTTTGTTGAAAAATAAGAAAAACATGATCCCGCGCCTCTGACAGTTTCTATCGCGTTTGTTTTCTTTCATTCGAAATCCCACTGGCAGTTTGAGCGAAGTGCACTATATTTTTACGAAGCAGCATTTACTCATGTACGAGAAAGCATAAATCACGCCTGCCGTATCATTAATATACATAGATGTCAATAGGAAACGCATGACTGGAAGAAATATGACTGTGCACTATAAAGGCCGTGCTGAAAAATATGCTGCGGCTGAAGGAGAGAGAGAAGAGAGAGGGGGAGAACCACTGATCTGGATCTGTGCTGCCCTCTAGTGTCGGACTAAGCACTAGCACTGAGCTTTAATACATACACATATACCTTTATCCTCTTTATTTATAGAGAAATATTTTTCATAAGTGTAAATGGGAAGCAAAAAAACATGTATATATTTAATTATTTAAGCATTTTTTTCGTAAATATTTAGGCAAGAAAAAAACTACATTATTTTAGAGCCTTATATAAATATATATATTTGTTACATTTGTACCTAAATTTGAAAATAGACTTGTCATGACGTCTTTTTTTTTCTTCCTATTGTACTCATTTTCTGTTATTGACAATGTATATTCATTGTTTTAGAAATTGAAATGAATAAATGAGATGATAGATAGATAGATAGATAGATAGATAGATAGATAGATAGATAGATAGATAGATGGATAGATGGATAGATAGATTGATTGATTGATTGATTGATTGATTGATTGATTGATTGATTGATTGACTGATTGACTGATTGACTGATTGACTGATTGACCTTGTTCATATGCACACACTTGCAATCTTGGCCAAAGTGTGCAAGTCTGTCTCATGTCTTCAAACAGTGTTAGGCTAGTTACTTTATTATATTTACTAACTACATAATTAATAATTGTCTAAAATGTAACTTAATTACTCTGATAAGTAATTTAATTACCTGAAGTGATATTACTTAACATCCATATAAATCTTGCATATAGACAACAGAAATTAAGCTATTTTTATCTGACTCAAAAAGAAACTTTTATTCTTATGCGATTATTCATTTATTTTCTTTTCGGCCTAGTCCCTTTATTAATCCGGGGTCGCCACAGCGGAGTGAACTTCAACCCGCAACCCATCTCTGGGAGATATCCACACACTCATTCACACACATACACTACAGACAATTTAGCTTAACCAGTTCACCTATAGAACTGTGTTTTTGGACTGTGGGGAAAATTGGAGCACCCAGAGGAAACCCACGTAAACGCGGAGAGAATGTGCAAACTCCACACAGAAATGCCAACTGACCCAGCCGAGGCTCGAACCAGCGACCTTCTTGCTGTGAGGCGAAAGCACTACCTACTGCTCCACTGCATTGTTTCTTATGTGATTATTTTTAATCAAATATTTTTTTTGTCATTTCAAATTAATGAACCAGATTCAGACCGAGGCTTCGACAGAGCTCAAGTAGGAACTTTCTGTTCTTATTTATTTGGGCTTCAGAGTTATTCCTAGAAATATTTACACTGTTTTGTTGATAACTCTGTCCAAATATGTATTTATTCCCACGGTCTGTGGTACAGTCAGTATAGGACCCTGTTCTAGCATTGAGATCTCCACACAGCAACACACAAAACTTGTTGTCTGCGTGAAGGTGACTCTCTCTCTCTCTCTCTCTCACACACACACACAGTCTATTAGTTGTTTTATAAATAGCGCTATGATGTTGTTTTTTTCTTTTATTTAATGATTTAATGTTTGTGAGTCGGATACAGTGTTGTACTACAATTGTAAAGTTACTTTTAGTTTCTGACATGGATTTTTGTGTGTTGTAAATGGACATCTTTTCTGGAACTTATATGACTTATACAATAATAAAGACAATGATTGGTTAGATTTAAAATACTGTGTTAAAAGTATATTGCAATATTTATGAAGCCTCAGGGTCTCATGCTGGAATTTCTGGTGCTGACCGTATTTCTACTGTCAGCAGCGCCACCGCCAGACACGTTTTTTTATCGTTTGTTTTGGTGTGGGCTTATTTTTATCAGTACTTGACAATGAAACACCGGCTGTCTGCGATATGTCTGGATGTAGAGATGTGGCTGTGTTCACTCAGGTGGGCCTGTACCTGTCTCGCCCAGCTGGATCTATTTCAGTCTCTGTCTTTTCACCTTTACTCTGAGTCAGCTGTGGGTTTCTCTTTGATTTGGTCTCTTTTTATGTTGAATATTTGGATTTGGTAAGTATGTGTGCTTGCATGTGTGTGCATGTGCTTATGTGCACCCATGTTCACCAGTGAGTGAACTTCATAGGGAGTTAGACGTTTGGAGGGATGTCAAAATGAATTATTGGAAATGTTGTCTCAAGTATGAAGGCATCAAATCTTATAGTATATATGTGTGTGTGTGTTATACACACAACAGTCACTTTATAAGGTACACCTTACTAGTACCAGTTTTTGGTCCATATTGACATAATAGCATCATGCAGTTGCTGCAGATTTGTTGGCTGCACATCAATGACGCGAATCTCCCATTCTACCACATGCCAAAGGTGCTCTATTGGATTGAGATCTGGTGACTGTGGATGCCATTTGAGTACAGTGAACTCATTGTCATGTTCAAAAAACCAGTCTGAGAGGTTTCACGCTTTATAACATGGCGCGTTATCCTGCTGGAAGAAACCATCAGTAGATGTGTACACTGTGATCTTAAAGGATGGACATGGTCAACAACAATACTCAGGTAGGCTGTGGCGTAGACACAATGCTCAATTGGAATGAATGGGCCCAAAGTGTGTCAAGAAAATATCCCCCACACCATTACACCACCACCACCAGCCTGAACTGTTGATGCAGGATGGATCTATGCTTTCATGTTGTTGATGCCAAATTCTGACCCCACCATCCGAATATCACAGCAGAAATCGAGACTCATCAAAGCAGGCAACGTTTTTCCAATCTTCTATTGTCTAATATTAGTGAGCCTGTGCGAATTGTAGCCTCAGTTTTGTGGTCTTAACAGATTGGAGTGACACTAGATGTGGTTTTCTGCTGCTGTAGCTTTCTGCCTCAAGGTTTGACGTGTTGTGCATTGAGTTACTGTAGCCTTTCTGTCAGCTGGAACCAGTCTGGCTATCCTCCTCTGACCTCTGGCATCATTTGCGCCCACAGAACTGCAGCTTACTGGATATTTTCTCATTTTCAGACCATTCTCTGTAAACCCTAGAAATGGTTGTGCGTGAAAATCCCAGTAGATCAGCATTTTCTGAAATACTCGGACCAGCCTGTCTGGCACCAACAACCATGCCACGTTCAAAGTCATTTAAATTACCTTTCATCTCTATTTTAAAGCTCAGTTTGAATTGCAGCAGATCGTCTCAATCATGTCTACATGCCTAAATGCATTGAGTTGCTGCCATGTGATTGTTTGATTAGAAATGTGCGTTAACGAGCAGTGTGTATATAGGTATAGTATATTCTTAAAGCAATATATAGTATCTAAGTTGTAAAAAATGTAATGTAAATATTAATGTAAATATAATATACTGTAAAATTCTGAATTTATTTTTATATTGATTGTTTGTTACACAATTTACTGATCTTCACAAATCTTCATTCAGTTCTTTTATGTATGTGTTATTGATAATTGTCTAATACCTCTCAGCATCATGCACACACAGTGCTGTCATGGTGCAAATTTACAAAATACAAGTGCAAGTAAATATGTGACCTATCAATCATATAACAGAAAGTTGAGGTACTAGCACCCCTGTGTTTGAAGACACTGCCATTCCCTCAGTTCATTATTTCTATGCACTAATTCACAAAACAGCAGCTGTATTTTCTCTCCAGTGAGAGTGGAGTAACAGCATTTGTGGATGAATCCACCCATATCTCTCTGATCCCGGGATTTCCTCTCTAACCATGTAAACATCATTACCACCGGATGAAGCCAGCAGCCACTGCCACAGATTAGCATAGGTTATGCGTAAACATGCCAAATTAATCTGATGACTTGCTAATTCGACTAAAATTAATTGACACTGAGTTATTTAAATTCTTACCTTGTAAGACTAACACGTTCACGAGCTGCTAACAATTCTGTGCGTGTCAAACATACATTTCAACGTTCTTATCCCTCTGATTGCTGCTATGCATTTATGTAAACTGTTGGGCTTTGTGAAGTATAATCTGCTTATTTTCTTCTGAGGAATTACGGTCATTATATAGGATTGTTAGCACAGCTGATACTCAAATGTCTCTCTTCTCTTCAGGTGGGCTGCTCATTTCAGGACTTAAGCACCTCGAATCTCTTTTCCATTCCTATGAAGGGTTTTAGCATGCTAGTGCTAATAGCCTATTTGGCAGCTAGTCTTTATTCATGAGTTTCAGGGTTTTCTGCAGTCTGAAAAAAAAAATGTTAGAAATGTTATATAATTTTATGAATAATAGAAACTGTCATGAATTTTCCATGATCTTTCATCATGAATATGAATTTTTCTAGCTATCCTGCAACTCTGATTTAATTTCTTTGGAAGTGATTGATTTGTGGGTTAAATGTGTAAAAACCCTGAAGGTTTTTTTTGGCTTTTTGTCTTTCTAAAACATTGTATTTCCTCTTCTTTTTCTGTATTCAGGTAGAGGCCATCTTGGTGAACATCTTTGGAGGTATTGTTAACTGTGCCATCATTGCTAACGGCATCACCAAAGCCTGCAGAGAACTGGAGCTCAAGGTTCCCCTGGTGGTCAGACTCGAAGGTGAGTGATAATAACATTTAAAAGGGGACATTTTTAGACATACAAAGATTCTTCCTCATCTTTATACATTCACAAACATTACCAGCATAATGCCATAGGGGTAAGTCATTTCACTAGGTGGCCATACAGTAAGTGCAGCTCCTATTTTTTTGAATGGAGATTTGCCATGCCATGAGTACAATTAAAAGAACACTCTATGTTTTTAAACAGGTTCAAAGCCTTTAAAATTGCAACTTTTTGTTTTCTGTCACTCTTTGTAGATGATATACTGTAATTGCAAAAGAGTCTATCTTTAAGTAGGAACTGGTCATTTTTAAAGTGAGATGCTAATGGCCTATTCCAGGGGTGTCAAACTCATGAACTGATCAGACTAATTAAGTCTTGTTTGAAGTCTACAGGTAAGTGTGTGTTAGTACTAAACTTTGCAGGGCTATGGCCCTCAATGGACTGAGTTTGACACAACAGTCTAATCAAATTCCATGATTTATGCTAAGCTAAGCTAAAATTGCTTTCACCAGACCTGGAGGTTGGTTAAATGGATTGATATATAGTAAAACTCAACCGTTTAACTCAAGGGGAGTTACAGTGGAGTGTTGATTAAATATTTGGAATCAAATATTTAATAAAATACCAACTGTTTCATTTTGTTTCTAAGCATTCTAATCATGCTAAAAATTCTAATCATGCTAAAAACATTTGTTTTTTTTATCTTGACCAAGCTAATGCACATGTGCACTGCATTTGAAAGACCTGTATCATGATATTGAATTTTTCAATTAAATTCAGCTTTATTTGTACAGCGCTTTTACAATGTAGATTGTGTCAAAGCAGCTTCACATAAATGGTCATAGTAACTGGATCAGGGTGGTTCAGTTTTTAGTGTTTAAGTTCAGTTCAGTTTAGCTCAGTTCAGTGTGGTTTGAAAACATTACTAAGAGTCCAAACACTGAAGAGCAAATCCATCGATGCGTAGCTCTACAGATCCTGAACCATGCAAGCCAGTGGCGACAGCGGAGAGGGAAAAAAAACTTCACCAATAGGAGAGTGAAGAAAAAAAACTTGAGAGAATCAGACTCAGTTCAGCATGACCATTTTAATTTCTGGCCAAAAGTCTTGTGCAGATATGCATCATAATGCACCTGGATTATCACCTGTATCAGACATGTATCATGTCTGTGTACGAAAACAGAGTATATTACGAGATCAAACTTACAAGGCTTTAAAATATATGGAAATTATATGTTTGTTGTTACTGGTGATGAGAAAAATGGCGCTATAAATAAACAGCATTACTAAAGGCAATACTTTTTTCAGTAACGAGTAATCAAATTTTCACCCATTACAACGTCGTTGCTGTTACTTACAATAAAATTTTAGTTACTATAATTGAGCACACTGAAGCGGTTTTCAAACAAACAGCACCATTCTAAGCCATAATACCTCTTTTTCTCTGAAGTAAGTGTGTGTTCAGGGCTGGGGCAGGACAAATAAGCAACCAGTGATGATGATTATGCTGTCTGTGTATGTGGAGTACTTAAGAAGCATGATGATTGGCTTAGATAGAGTACATTTCCATCATTTGCCAATCAGAGGCAGAGTACTACGGTTCACACACAAGCACACGCACAGTCAGCCGCACACACCAACGACCAGGAGTCAGAACGATGTCAAATCTAGCAAGTTCAAAGGTAACGTTTGCAAACTGGAAAATAAGCACTACTTTTCCCTCATTGAGGTGAAAAGCATTAATGTTTATGTATCGTGCAACAATAGAATGAAGAGTCCCTCTGCGTCAGTGACAGGTAATTCTACTCTAATTTTAATCTAACCGTATCTAATTTTAATCTGTATTTATTGTATAGTCATTTGACAAATTAGATTGTTTAAAGTATCGCAATAGTTAACTTCCCTGGTAATTAGTTACTTTTATAATTATGTTACTAAATCAGTTAATATTTGTGAGAAGTACTAGTACCTATAAAAAAATACTCTTTTAAAGGAGATATTAAAGTAAAGGCCAGTGGCCAACACTAGTTATTATAAGAGGATTATTTGATCGAATGGGGCTAGAAAAAGAGGCGGGATAAAACAAGAAGAAGTAACACTGCCATTGTGTAAAATGTCTTACATTTGGCCACATTTTTCTATTGGTCACACAATTTTACAGGTCAAAGTTCACCAAGCTTTAACTCTGGATTGCTACAACATGCAAAACTTTTCACACTAGCTTACAAATTAATGAAACTAAATAAAGAAAATTGTACATGGTGACCGCATTTTACCGGAGACAAGAGCTGTAAAGGCTCCACCCTCTTATCAGGAAGGAGCAGCTTATTTGCATTTAAATAGACGCACAAGAAATTGTGTTTCTGCTACCACCCAAAACAATTACAGCATTTTATATTAAAGGGCATCTATTTTACCCTCTTTCAACTTTTAATATAAGTCTTTTGTGTTCCAGAATGTGTCTTTAAAGTTTCAGCTCAAAACATCCATCAGATTATTTGTTAGACCTTTCAGAATATTGGAATTTTCTGCTTTCAACACTATTTAGCTGTTTTTGTGGCCTGTGCCTTTAATGCTAGTTCTCCCCACCCTCCAATCCCAATCACACACATAGCATGTGCATTTAACTTTGCACCGTTTTCCACAGCAAATGTGACAGGATACACATTAATATCCAGTGTTGTATGAATATCATTTATGTTGAGGCACAAAATAAACCTGATTTAACATCCACAAATCAGGATTGATTTTTTTTTTTTAGAATTCTTTTAGAATTGTACTGACTCATAGCTGTGGTGATAAAGACTGCACTGTTTTAAAAACATTTAAACATTAAACTTGTAAAACTCATTTTGATCACATTTGATGATGATTGATGATCATAGCAAGCTGAACAGATCTTCTAACCCCAGTTGATTTTTGCACGTTCTGTCTTGTTGATATGATATTATGCGTTACTAAAGAGATATGTTAAAACGCGACTGTCAATCAATTCAGTGGTTTGGGAAACCACACTCCTACATCACATTGCGGTGTACCTGAATATACGATTTGGATGCTGTTTTAACGTCAATAATTTAAAGGAAAGAGACTTATTTTCTATATATCACTACAATGTAAGTGTTGACACACTTTACCTACACATAGGTCTGTCCAAACAACTTACAAAAGATGATTTCCTTCATAGGTGCCCTTTAAATGATCTGTGTACCATCTTAGGCTGAAATTTTATAGACACAATCCAGGTAGACCTGAAACTCATCTACCATCCAGTAACAAATAATAACGTTCCCCTTTTAAGCAAAAAGTGATCTTTTTTTAAACTAATTTTTGGTCAAATGATCTCTGTTACCAAACCTGCCCCTGTCAAGTGCTGTGTGTTTGGTGTTGGTTAGCAAGCGCGTCACGCCACAGCAGTTGTTGGTGGCAGCGAGTAGAGCAGAGGAGCAGGCGTTGATTGCGGGACCTCTCACCTGTGTATGCTAATGCTACGCGCTCGTGTGACACAGGGCCTCGGCCTGCTCCCATCTGGCCATTAGGATAATTGGCAGAAAACAGCTGAGTCGTTTTGCCCCGGAGAGAGACATATACTCCACTCCATTAGTTTTCTGCCCCTCGTTTGTCCATGCCGTACCCTGTCCTTCTGAGGACCAATTAAATGTAGGACAAGAGAAGCATGAAGATATTTAGCACAATTAAATACAGATTATATTTAATTCTCTGGTAATATTTGCACTTTCAAGGGGAATGCACATGTGGGCCAAACCTGATGACAGCGATTAGAGGGATACTTTACTCAAAAATGAACGCTCCGTCATCATTTACTCACCCTCATGTCGTTCCAGAATTTCTCTGTTAATGCGCAGTCACATGTATCAGTGTTCACTGGATTTCTGCAGGAAATATCCATTCATTTTTGTAACCCTATATATATATATATATATTTTTTTTTTTTATCACTCAATTTGATCTTAATATACTACTTAAGTGTTTGGTTTTGTTCTTCCCAAGTGTGACTTCAACTTTTAAAGAGTGTAATATTGGCTAAATTTGTGTTCATTATTCCGGTCATTAAGAGCCGTTTTGAATGCTGATTGGATTTGAAAATAACTTTTATACTGTATGGTTATAGAGTTAAAGGTGCTGTATGTACGTTTTTATGTATGCAAGCATAAAAATACAGCAAAGTGAACATGCCAAGTGAACGTTCTTGTTTATCTGAAAAACAATGCTGAAGTCAGGTATTTTGCTTTGAAAATGTGTTACCCACCCAAACGCTGCCTTTGTTTTGGTTCTTTTAACCCGCCCAATTATATTTCAACAACCCTGGTTGCCTTGGTGGAAAACTGCATATTTTATTCATTCATACAGAACAGCTCTCAAAGCATGCATCTGTGACTGAAGTGTGACCTCCAGTGGACAGTAGCAGACTCCGAAATGAGGCGCAGATTCAGAGTTCCACATGAGGTTATTAGTTAGCAAATAATATAAATATTACGAGTGTAAACATTATGTGAGCAGGTTGCATTTTAACGCCGGGTCATAACAACACCCTATGAGACTAGCTTTGCAGTGATGAGCAATTTAGCTGTTTGCACCAGACAAAACACGACAAAAATTTAAATACAGCCATTCAGATGCACAGAGTATGCTCACTCACTCATGAAATGGTAAGATTATAGTCTATTTATTACATAATAACCATCTTTTAATATTTATTTAATATTTCAATTAAAAATATTGGTTTTGTTATTATTTTATTTTATTTTTATTGAAATTATATGAAATTTTATCAAAGTTAAAAGGGTGAGCCAACACTTTAGATGAAACATCTAAAATAGGATTTAGTTTAAAACTTTTAGAAACCATTTCAAAGTAAATGTCATCATTACCACTCTACAATCCTGCCTCATAATGGACTAAAAAACCCAGTCATGCAATACACACACACACAACCGGTTACAGATCCTGACTTATTACACTTTCACAGCTGA